TTTTTTTTTTTTTTTTTTTTTTTTTTTTTTTTTTTTTTTTTTTGCAGGAATTTAGTTTTTTAAAAAAAAAAAAAAAAAAGCTGTCACTTTGTTTCTGCCTGAAAATATCTCTATTTGTGAGTGGTTCAGATCTGCAGAGCGAAGGTTTGTCAAAATTAATTCTGACTCGTTGTGTTCACCTGTCACACGTCTTTAAAATATTCATTAAGCGTGTCTTTTTAGGAAAAAGGGAACTGAATAAAATCCAACTTTTTAAATTATTCATCTAAACAACACAACCTGTTTATATCATATTGCTTTTGATGTTATTTTTGTCACCGGTATGCAAGACTCCTGACTGCCATAGATTTATTAGACAAACTGTATTTAACCCCTGAGGTTTCTAACAAGCCAACAGGACGACGCTTAATTGACAAATATCACACTTTAAGACATCCTAAATAATACTGCTTGGGTCAATGCCAACAGTGGAAAACGTGGGATTAATGACATAAAACAAAGAAACATAAATTCAGTAAAAAGCAGTTTGGAAATGAAGTGAGTTCTTTTGAAAGATTCATGAACGTAACTCGCAGTAATAATGCAGTCATGGAGCTCCGTTCACAATCAGATTATGCAACACGATGCCTGGTTATGCAACAAAAAATATTTATAGGGTTACATAAATATATCTGCTGGAGGAGAAATGCTTCAAGGGGAGCATGACTTATACTTTGTTCTAAAAAGTGAATTGTAAACCACAAATGAAAAAAATACTGCCATTCACTTAAAGCAGCTGTATTTTATGACAAAAGTACTGCGCATCCAGAAAGTATTCATAGCACGCCACTTTTTCCACATTTTATGTCATAGCCTTATTTGAAATTATAGTCAATTAATCTATTTCCTCAAAATTCTACACACAATACCCCATTGTGACAATGTGAAAAAAAATATTTTTTATATATTTTTGCAAATTCATTAAAAATAGAAAACTACAAATTCGCATTTACGTGAGTATTCACAGCCTTTGCCATGAAGTTCCAACTCGAGCTCATACTGTTGCCACTGATCATCCTTGAGATGTTGCTACAGATCAAATTCCACCAAAGTAAATTCAGTTGATTGGACTTGATTTGGAAAGGCACACGCCTGTTTATATAAGGCCCCACAGTTGACGGTGCATGTCAGCACAAACACCGAGCATGAAGTCAAAGGAACTGTCTGTAGACGTCAGAGACAGGGTGGTGTTGAGGCACAAGTCTGGGGAAGGAGACAAACTTCTGCTGCAGTGGTCTCCATCGTTTGTAAATGGAAGAAGTTTGGAACCACCAGGACTCTTCCTAGAGCTGGCCGTCTAAACAGAGCGATGGAGGGAGAAGGGCCTTAACCCGATGGTCACTCTGTCATAGCTCTAGCGTTCCTCTGTGGAGAGAGGAGAACCTTCCAGAAGAACCATCTCTGCCAGATGAAAGCCACTACTAATGGCACATGGCAGCCCGTCTGGAGTTTCCCAAAAGGCACCTGACGGACTCTCAAACCACGAGAAACAAAATTCTCTAGTCTGATGAGACAAAGATTGAACTCTTGTGGTGTGAATGCCAGGTGTCATGTTTGGAGGAAACCAGGCACTGCTCATTACCAGGGCAATTACTATCCCTATAGTGAAGCATGGTGGTGACAGCATCATGCTCTGGGATGTTTTTCAGCAGCAGAAACTGGCAGACTAGTTGGGATAGAAGGAAAGATGAATGTACAGAGACATCCTGGATGAAAACCTGCTCCAGAGCACTCTTGACCTCAGACTCAGGTGATGGTTAATTTTTCAGCAGGACAACGACTCAAAGCACATGGTCAAGATCTCAAAGAAGTGGCTTCAGGATTACTCTGTGAATGTTCTGGAGTGGACAATCCAGAGTCCAGACTTGAATCTGAGTGAACATCTCTGGAGTCATCTGAAAATGGCTGTACACAGACGTCTCCCATCTAACCTGATGGAGACTGAAAAATATTGCAAAGAAGAATGGGCAAAACTGAAAGGTGTGCTCAGCTTGAAGCATCATATTCAAAAATATTTGAGGCTGTAATTGCTGCCAAACGTGGATCAACAAAGTATTAATATTGAGCAAAGCCTGTGAATATTTACGTAGTGATTTCTTAGTTTTCTATTTTTAATAAATTTGCAAATATCTTAAATCTTTTTTCACATTGTCATAATGAGGTATTGTGTGTAGAATTTTGTGGAAAGAGATTAATTTAATACGATTTGGAATAAGGCTGTGACATAACAAAATGTGGAAAAAGTGCAGCATTGAATACTTTCTAGATGTCTGAACACTTTCTGTGAAGCATCTGCAGCTTCGTGTTTCTAACAGCAGGGGGCAGCAGAACTTCACAAAAACAAGCTCCTGGCTTTTATCTCTCCACATAACATCTGTCAAAAACAGTGTTTAGTTCTGGTGTGAATCATAACAAAACAAAGATTAAGCATTTTTTAAATATTCTGTTTTTATAAAGCAGTTTTGGCACAAACCAAGACAATGGTTTTGTTTCATGGAAAATATTTCCACTTAAGTGAAAAAAGAGAAAATATCAGGGAAAAAACACTATAAGATAGTTTAAAATATTCTGTCCTTTGGGAGAATAAATGAAGCACATACTTTACAGAAAACAACTTATAAAAACACTTTCTTTTCCATTTTGAAACGATTCACATTAAAGATGAGTCCACATGTTTTTGTCTAAATTTTGAAGAAAGAAAACTGATAAAACTGTCAGACTGGATATTATCGGCTTACAGTTTAATTGCAGAAAACATAGACAATAAAACTTAAGACTTAGTGATCAGTCATTTCTCAGTAAAATTATATTTTACACTTCTGCAACTCTGCAGTCCGACCGCACATCTGTAAACATCTGTAGGCTGTCAGGACGAGAACGTGTCTCAGGAAAAATGTGTTCAGGTTAAACCTTCTGAGCACAAACTGCTTCTGATGTTTAAACACCAAGCAGAGAAGATGAAGAGGTATGAAGCTAAAATAAGCAAATGGCTAACTAAAAGTAGCAAATGTGCAGGTATAAGTATAAAAAATTTAGCTAAAAGTTAAAAATAGCAAAAAAGCTACCTACAACTGAAGGGAAACAAAGTAACAAAACAACAGATATAAATTAATTGTAGCATAAGGGTTTTTAAAAGGTAAATGTATAAAAATTCTAAATAAAAATGTCAAAAGGCTATGTAGAAGCTAAAACTTGCTAAATAAATCTACACAGGTAGAAGTTTTACAATGCTAGGCAAAAGTAGCAAAAACCTAGCTAAAAGCTAAACCTAAAACAAGATTAGGGAAAAGCTAAATGTCCAAAACAATAGCTACAAGATAAAAATAGCAAAATGCAAGGTAATAGCATCAAGAATAGCTAAAAGCTAAAGGAGCAAAAGGGTAGCTCAAGTACCAAAATCATAGCTTAAAATTAAAAATAGCAAAAAGCTAGGCAAAAGTAGTAAAAGGCTAACTAAAAGCTAAATGTAGTTCAGGGTTAGCGGAAAACTACAAATAGCAAAACAATGGCTATAAGCTCAAGTAGCAAAAACATAGCTCAAAGTATCATATGCACAGCTAAAGGTTAAAGTAAGAAAAGACTAAGTAGAAGATAAAAGTAGCAAAAAAAGTTACAAGTATTACAAAGCTACTTAAATGTAGCAAAAGACTGGCTAAAAGAAGTAAATTACAAGCTAAAAGTTAAAAGCAGAAGAAAAGATAATAAAAGTGGCACACTGATGATGCTTATTAAAAGAAAAATATTTCTGAAGGAACTGAAGAAGTCTGAATGTGTTTCTAAGGGAGACAAATATTAGTAAATTAATAAAAAAATATTAAAACATATAAAAGTAAAAAATAAATGGCACAGCTCCCATTTCCTGAATGAGTTGAATGTTTCGATTAAAAAAAAGCTAAATTAGTTCCAAGTATGTATACGTAGTTAGGATAAAAAAAACCAAGAACAAAAACAGGGAAACAATAAATGAGTTTTTTAGTATGTGGTTGTTTGCTGCATAAAGCTTTTGATTAAAGTGTTTTATTTTAGCAGAGGAAAATTACAGAATAAAGCCAGCTGCTCAAAGTGCTTCTACCTTTCCAAAATGACAGAGCAGCTTGTTGAATGTCACTTTTTATGTAATTCTATTGTCAGAAGTGTTAGAAGATGTTAGAAGTTAAAATGGGCACACTCTGAAAGTGCAACACAATTACAAATATTCAGCCTATTTGTTCTGGCAGCTCCCAAAAACGTTCCACCTTGGAACTGAACATAAAATCGTCATAAAATCACATCATGAACCCAACAAGCCCTGAGTTGTGGAGCCACAGGCTCACCTTGCAGCTCGGAGTTTTTCCTGAAGTCATCAAGGCACTGAAGGCTCTCCGGGTTCTCGAGGGCCAACTTGTTGTTGAGGAACCAGAAGAGAAGAGTCACGAGGACGATGAAGAGCGCGATGGCTGTCAAAAAGCCCAGCACCTCTGGAGAAACTGAGACACAGAAAAATATTGAAGTGACGTCACAACAACAATAAACTGAAATAAATTATAGGATATTACACTTTTTTAAACTCTAAACAAATGAGAACTATTTGATTTTTTTGGATACAATTAGCTTATCAAAAGCTAACACAACGAGATGAAACAATATAAAAGCTGCTAAAAATGTTTTTTTTCTTTCCTGTCCAGCAAACTGCTTTCAGTTTTTATTGTTCAATTTGTTAAAATGTTATTGATATTTTACAACAACAACAACAACAACAACAACAACAACAACAACAACAACAACAACTTTGTCGCTATAAACTATTAAGTTTTGTTATTTTTACCAAATAATTCTAACAGTATGCTGAGGTGCACTTTCTTCGGCGTACCTAATTCATTTTAAGCTTCTGTAATGCTAGAAATAGCTTATAGCTACTTTGTTGTGCTAAATTTAGCTTATAGCTACTGTTTTGCTGGTTATAGCTAACAGCTACTGTTTTGATAAGTTTAACTTACATCTACTATTTGCTAAATTTAGCTTATAGCTACCATTTATGGTGGTTTTAACTTATAGCTATGGTTTTGCTAAGTTTAGCTTATAGATACTGTTTTGTTGGTTTTAACTTATCGCTACTATTTGATAGTTTTAGCTTATAACAAATGTTTTGCTGGTTTTAGCTTTTGTTTAGCCAATAGTAGATTTTTTTCCCACTCATTTTAACTTGAACAACTCAGTTCCACCTTCCTCCGTTCTCTGAGGAGATACAACCTGCTGGTCTCTATGGTAACGAGTGCAGGTGCAGCATCACCAATCAGATCTAATTAAACTCAATAGGGACAGCCACACATCAACAGTCTCCTTTTGGTCCTGATGTAAATGTCATTAAAGAAGCAGACAGGGTTTGTAGATTTAACCGTGACAAGTACACGCTCGGTGCACATGTATGACCTTCAGCAGCTCCGTGAAGGGAACACGCCCTCGTCACGAGGAGGCTGCTAGGCATCAGGATGCTGTTTTTTCCTGTTCTCTCTGCTGCACTCAACAAATAATTTAATTAAATCACCAGTTGCATTTGTATTGCATAATTAAGAACATTTTAACTCTGATAAACTTTAAAATTTCACCAGAAATCATTGCTTGGTTCCAGATGTCCATTCTCAGCCAGGTTCTCCGTTGATTTCAACTTTTGATTATGAGAAATCACGTGGTGTAAACAGAGTGAAGTAGTAAGAAGTTTACAGTGATTTCTACCAGAGTGATGAGCTAACGGCTAATCCAGTGTAAACTTTTTCTCTTTAAACAAAGAGGCAGTAGCAGCCAGCTGTAGCGCTTCTAGTGCCACCTGGAGCACGTTTTGCAAGTTCACCATGATGTTCCCGTTAGAATAACAGCATAACGTGAATTTGATTCAAACCATTTTAAGATTAAAATATCTTTGTCCAAACTGGGGTTGATCAAAGACTTATCTACAACAGGTAAGATAATAATTGCTCATGTCCCAAATATCCCTTTAACACCAGGTCTGAACGAAGACAAAAAGATGAAATTAAGAGGGAAAAACCGGAGCAATGTAACAGATTTTTACTGCAGTTTGGGGACTTTCTGTATTCACTTTAAATTATATCTGCTGAACTAAGTTTCTATTATGAATGAAGCTTTGCGGATAACCCATTTGGGTCAGCTGCTACAGTGCAAATGGACCATAATGAGCTCATCTGGTCTGGAAGCCATCTTGTTTTCTAATCAGTGCTGATAAAGATGCCTGCTGGTACGTAGAGTTTCAGCACAATGCCTCCGTGTCATAGTTAATGGAAATAACTGAAAAAATTGGCTGTCTGCAGCGGATCAGGTTATTTTTTATTTTTTGGGGGGTAATTAAATGTTCTGTGTCAAGAATGAATGAAGCAGATTTCAGGCTCAGAGGATGAATAAGAAGTCTCTTAAATGAACAAATTGATGAACAAGAACCTTACGTGGATGTTTCAGCTCGTAAAAACGTGTTGTCGGGGTTTTACAGATTATTGCAGTCACCTCATCGTGTCTGGTCACATGTTGGTGTTTGAGCAGGAGGCGTTCTGTCTGTGCACACTGTACCGACTAAATTATTCACGGCCCAGATGGAACTAGAGGAATTCTGCTCCGAATAAATCCCTAAATAACTCAAAACAGGAGAAGATTCCCAGAATTCAGTAGCACTTTTTTACTTTTGACTTTAAGACCTAAAACAACAGCAGTTTGTTTGATTTTAAAAGTAAAATTCTTCATTTTACTTAATTAAATAAAAGTTTAAAATGAATCCTTCGTCTTTAAAGCTGCTGGAAACACTGCGGTACCAGTGCTGATGTAAGTGCTTTTAGTCTCATTTCCCCCATTTGACTTATTTCACCAAATCAGCATTAAGCCATTAAAACACTGAGAATAACCTTTAGATGAAGTGCGTGGGACTGACCGATGAGTCACCGCAAGTACCGTCAATAACAGACTTTGTTACACAAGAAGAAAGAACGAATAATGTGGGAATCAGACCATGTAAAGAAAAAGAAAACCCTTTAAAAGACTTTCTGTAGCCGACATCTGTACAGGATTTTTATTTTCTGATCCTATTTCTTTTATTTAGACTTTTCTTGATAAATAACATCCCAAGCCCGTTCGGCTACATAACCGCTCCAGAGCGTTCTGGGTCCATCCAGAGGTGCGCCCTCCTGGTGTCCAGAAACCCTCAAGACCTGCAACCTTCACAATCAAAAGAAAGGTTCAGAACCGCAAACCATTAAATATTAAAATAAAGATTATTACACACTAAAACATGCTGGGTTATTTTCATAATCTAGTTGTTGAGTTTAAGCTGTTGGGTCACAGTTTAGGTTAGTTTGACCAAATACTGGTTCAAACCTTTGGAGCCAGTGGTTGGATTGATAATGAGACATTCCCCAAGACACCATTAAGACAGAAGCTGACCAAACTGTACCAGGATGGACCTGTGCTTTACGATGTAATAAATAACATTAAGATTGTAAAAACAACTTGTTACTCATTGTTTAAACTTGTTATTACATTAGCTGACAGTAGTTTGCAGCAGTGAGCTAACACTAAACCAGATTTTATTTTAACTAAGCAGCTCTTATTAAACAAATGAGCCATTTTAACAGTTTTTGTGTAGAAAACTCGACCAATGACCTGGTAACTGGGAGCTAAACTACCCAGTCCAAATGTGACCGTGCACTGGATTACAAACTGCGTTGTTACATATAAAATCTAGATTATTTCACTCTGAAATCACCATGTACACACACACACACAAAAGAAACTGCTAACATTTATAAGTCTTTTTACATTTTATTACAAAAGAAAAGACTAAATTCTTAAAAAGAGGAAAATAATATTTCATGTTTCCCATTTTAATCAAATATAATCAATAAATTTTGGAGGTCTGTGCGAGTTTTACTTTATTTATGGTAAATTAATAAATATTCCACTTCGAAATGATGAAGCATCGATTTGCTACTTGCATATTATTTGCGTGAACCAAAAGAATTAAAAATATATTTTGGATATTTATTGTGACTTACTGGATTATCTGTATTATTAACTGATACCTTCACATATTTAAAGTTTTATTATTATTTTTAATTAAAGATAAGCCTTTGCTTCTAATTCTCATTGTTCTCAGAACATTTTTGCAAAATACCCAATTTCAATAGGAAAGAAACATGTTTGCAAAACTACACTTTAAGAGTTATATTCCCTCTTAAACTCATAAAAATGTGTTAAATTAAAAATAAGTTAAATTAATGAAGTTGTAAACAATTAATCCAAACTGACCGATGTGTTTTTAGATTTTGACTTCATGATATTCCAATGATTACATATAATATAAGCAAACTTTTTTTGTTTGCATTTTATGCAAACCAGTGACTTTATGGCTGCGAGGTGATCGCTGTAATCACTGCACCACTGTGCTGTCCATGCAGCCTTTTACCTTTCCAAATAAAAGCTCAACTTTAACTCTATCCCTGGTTTGAGGGTGATTTTGTTCTGACGCGTGCTTCACTAAAAAAAAAAAAAAAAATAGAACAGAAACTCTCCACAGGAGCTTTCAAACAGTTTGGTTGTTTTTATGAGTTTCGGCGACAGCATTGACGCTCATTGTCCGACTCTATCACACAATCCTGACCAGCGCTTGGATCTTCAGGAGGACCCCTGACTGGAAAACGTCCAGACCACAACAGCTGAGCAGCTGCACATGGAAAACTAACAGACGATGGTAACAAATATTCTGCTGTCGAGCACAACGTCCATCCTGACACGTCTTTGCGTTCATTTTTAGTTCTGTGTGCATGGAAACGGTTGCTACGTTCGACGATGAAAACCCCCTCAGAACTGCGAAGAAGCCCACGCACTCCCCAGGCAACCCAGAAGAACTCTCAGCACTCCCACTCCCACTCACACCATGCTCTGAAACACAACACCGCCTGTGTGTCCACAAATCTGTCCACCTACAAACACACACCACAGATAAACAAACACTCACATTAATGAGCACACAGTTACACAAGCGGGTCACTCAGCTGGTGTTAGAAGCACCTACTTGTGTGTTTTGTTTGAGTAAAAGAGTTTATGTGAATTTGGATGAAGGCCAAGTGGACAGTCCATCAACTTCCTCTTTTACTAATATGACTCAACATGTTCACATGCAACCCCTAATATGAAGAGGTTGGGATGTTGTGTAAAATGTTATTTAAAGCAGAAAGAAATTATTTGCAATTCTCATAAACCCACATTTTATTCACAATGGAACAGAGTAAACATATCAAATGTTTAGAGTAAAAAACACACATCTCATAAAAGTTGTTCTAGGTCCATGTTTCTCTCTGTGAAGCAGCCCCTCTTCTTTGAACAACTGGCTGTAAACGTCCAGGGCCTGACGAGACCAGTTGATAAATAAACAACATCACCAGTTCGAGGTTTTGGGGAGAATCCCATTCTGGCCTGAAGGAGGATTCAAACTGTTCAACAGTCCTGGGTCTTTGACTGATTTTTATTTCTGGATGGGAGCAGATGTTCTATATACTTTTTTGCATCAATGGAGCCTTTCCAGATGTGTCAGCTACCCGTGTCAGAAGCATTAATGCACCTCCATACCATCAGAGAGGCAGGCTATTTAACTGTGAGCTGATTACAGGCCGGAGGGTCTCACTCCTCTTTAGTATGGAGGACATGACGCCTGAGGTTTCCACTTCTCCACTTTGCTTCAGTCCATTTTAACTGAGCTTTGGTCCAGCGGAGATGGCAGTGGTTCTGCACGGTGTTCACATACAGCTTCCTCTTTGCACAATAGAGCTTTAAGCAGCATTTGTGGGCGTCACAGTGAACTGCATTTATAGAAAACGATTTGTGGAAATGTTCCTGCACCCATGAAGTCATGTCCAGAACAGAACCAGACCTGTTTTTAATGCAGGGGGGCCCCTGAGAGTTTGAGGGTCGCGACCATCTAATATTGACTTTTAGCCTCGTCCTTTGAGCTCAGAGATTTCTACGGATTCTTGAAACATTCTGAGGATATTATGAGCGGAAGATGATGGGATAATTAAAGTATTTCCAATCTTTTGTTGGGGAACATTATTCTGAAATTGTTCCACTAATTGAAACACAGTTGTTCTCAGACCAGATGGACCTCAGGCCATCTTTACTTCTAAAATACTCTTTTTATACCGTTACTGACTAAATGCTTCTCCAGTTGTTTCTTAATCATTCCACTTACATTTATGACCTTTTGATGCTCCTGGTCCAACTTTTTAAAGACTCATTGCTGCCATCAATCACAACATTACCTTATTTAATTCCAATAAATAATAAATTCCCTTAGTTTCAACATTTGATGTTTACTTTGTTCCATAGTGAATAAAATACAGGTTTATGAAATTTGACAATCATTTCATTTTCTGTTAATTTCACCTTCCCACAATGTTTTCAGAGTCGGGGTTGAATTTTTTTTTTTTTTTACACCTAATTAAAAAAAGATTTTGATCCTAAACTCTTCATTCACTCTGGTTTACAACGAGAAAATAAATAAATCACATTTGACAGTGATTCGACCCTAATGCGTGAAAAACAAAGATGGGTTTAAACAGGACAGTGCGGTGGTGATGAATGCTAATGATGAAGGTGGGGAGAGAGAGGTTTGATGCAGGGGTCAGAGGTCAACCTCCCAGAGCTCTGATCTGCCCTACCTTTCCTGACGCAGATCAGCTCATTAACTCCACAGTGGTGTTCGCCACCTGGAAAGACAATGCAGTTTCAATGAGCCAGGTGTGATGGAGGGAACAGAGACAAAACAAGACAATACAGAAACACGTTTAAAACACAATTAGTCACAAACTATTTAAAAGGGACAAAAACAAGACGGGCAGAGGACACCGACAAAATCTGGATGGGGACACTTGTGGGTGTAAAAGATGGTTAAGTTTAAAATAGAGAGCTTTAACTAAGGAACAGTCTTCTGTGGGTCTTGTTGCACAATCTGTGAGTCTCTAGCTCTGCCTGCACATCTGCATGCAAGCATAGTGTATTTTTTTAAGGCATCAAATAACAAACTACAGCTACTGTATTAGATAAATGGATGTTTGAACATTCAGTAACAAGGTGAACAATACATGAATCAAGAAAGAGCAGCACCTGGGATGGAAGAGTTCTTTATTTATATGGAGGCCCCGCCTCCGTTGCTGCCAGCTATGTATGGTGGATTCTTCTTGCTGAAACGTGTTGTCTTTTATCCAAAAGACTGTCCATCGACACTGACACAGTCTTTTGAATAAAAGATGCAACGTTTCAACAAGAAGAATCCGTCCAGAGGACCTGACTGAACTTAGTTAGTCTTGACTAATTGCGTAGCCAAGATAAGCTCATCAGACTGTAAAAAGAAGAGATAATATATAAAATAGCATTCTGTGCATTAACATGCTTATATTAGAACTATAACTAACTTTAGTTGATTCTTATGCTGTAATTCTGTTAAAGTTTTTGTGCAAAATCACAATATATTTTCAGCCTGAGCTCAGGCTGGTGTTCTGCAGCAGCCGGGCCTCCAGACTGTAATTCAGAGCGATTACTCACACTTCTCTGAGCTCTGACTGCAGGTGGAGCTCACACACCCAGAGGCTCAAACTGTCCTGAGACCAGGCTGCAAAAACCCAACCATGGTGGCACAGAGGCCCTTATTTGAATTTTGAACAAAAATAAATTCATGGAAATGAACAATTTAAAAATTATCTGAAAAAGCTCAACATGCTCAATAAGACTAAAACGCATAAAACATGCAGGTCGGTCACTCAAAGACACTTTAATCAAAACAGAGATGTGACAGAGGTGAGCTTTTTATCCTGCCGTCAACAAAAAAAAATACAAATTAAGGCTCATTTCTTGTCAGCAGTCTTTTGAACTAGAATCCTACGATCTCTTAATTAAAGCAGTCAGAGTTAAAACTAAATGTGGCTGTCCATGAAACATGTCTGTGGCGTCTTTTTAAAAGCCACGATGGAGTAAAGCAGAAGCTAAGCCCATTAGCTGCTGGAGGATTCATAGCGCGTCAAAGATTAGTCAGCTTACCGAACAGCTGAGCTGTAAATTCATGTAGCAAATACAGCTTTCTTCCCACTCTGCAGCTGTACTACACGATCCAGTTTTAATAAACACTTTTCTGGTCCTGTATTCCACAATCGTGGAAAATGTTGATTCTGCTAATGGTTCATAAGAAACTTCATGAGAAAAAAAAAAAAAAAAAAAAAAGCTTTCTCCAGGAAATCAAACTAAGACCTCTTAATCAAACGTCACCTTTTTATTTTTAATATTCTACTGAGACAAATTGCTTAACGCCACAGAAATTATTGAATTAAAACTTGTTTGGTGAAAAATGAAAATTATCTGAGATGATCAGCGTTTTTATTTTTGGTGATTTTATCCCCAAACTGCCTGACTGGTCACGTGTCAAGAGTCGACTGATGATTAAACTGTGAATTATAAATACCGGAGACAGAAAAACAAAAAACTGAGAAAAACATAAAATTGTAAGAAGATGCCAATAATCAGTCATTCTAACAAACATCCACTCCTTTTTATGTGTCCAGATGTTAAAAACTTCAGTCGATCACACGTCAAGATGAGAATCTAAAGAGCAACACTATCATTTTATTTCTACGCTGGTTCAAACTAGAACCACGGGAGGTTGTCAAAACTCTGGTTTTAGCTAAAAGTATAATCCTGTTTTGTACATTTTTTATATTTTAAAGGTTTAACATGAAGCGGTCCAAATAAACTACTCTTGGACAAAAGTAGCTCCTCTAGAGGGACTTTAAAATTTTTATAATCAAGCAATAAATCCAACAGTTTTAGACATTTAACTTTTTTTCTGTTTTAAAAAGACTACAGTCCAAATGTGTAAATGATCCTTTAGCTGGAATACTGAACAATGCTGTAATTGTTCACATATTTAACATTGTTTTCTTGTCCCTGATCATAATACATTTAAATATATTTATATAATAGTTAATAATTCATATTATATATATATATATATATATA